ATGGAAAATCACAAAGCTATGTATTAAGAATTTAGCACAACACATTTCTCTTCTTGTAATTTCAATAATAAGATACCTGTGACGTGAAGGAGGAACCCATTACCGGGCTTGTTGGTATGGGCCTTCTGTTTGTTCATATACCCAAACCCATTTTTAACATTTTTTTTAATCTTTTCTAAACATTTAAATTTTATATTTTAACACAGATTTGTAATTAAAAAAATATTATAGTTATAATATTGTATAAATTTATAATATAATGTGTTAATATATAATTAATTCTTTTTATTAAAAAATTCTTCCATGATGTTATATACATCTATTTGTTTACTATCATGTTATATTTATTTAGTATTAAGTTATGATTTTAAGCTTACAATTTGACGTGATATTATAATTATAATATTATCGATTTCTTTTTAATTACTAATTCTTACTCCAAATGAGTAAAAAACATATCAATCTCATTTTAGATTTGGGTAAAAAAATGTTTTTCAAAAGAAATATCAGGAGTGTTTAAATCAATTGTTTGGATATAACTCATATAATAGTTGATAAATTATATTTAATAACTGATAATTATTATTTATAATTTATAATAAGGAACCCTGTTTTTTAATCTGAACTACAATGGATAATAGAAGAAGGATCATTGGATGAGGGAAGGCTCTAATATCATGAGCCCACCCCCATTTAATGTAAGTATAGTATAATATGATATAATTCTAACAATATTATACTCTTTTTTTTTTTTTTATAAAAAGTAGAGTTGTATTAGTAATTGAAATTTGAAAACAATTATAATGCAAACTATACTTTACCATATAGGTTGTGTAGAAAATATAAATAGCTAGGAAAGATTTGTGACACTAATATATAAAGTTAAGTGTTTCTTATAAATAGGAACTGAAAACTTCTAAATACAAATATATGTTAGAGGGGTATTAATAGAGTTATGGAACAATATAAAAAGATTACTTTGAAACTTATTATTGTTGTTGGTAATCATATCTATTTTACCATCCAAACTTAGCACAGGAGATCAATGTCTCCTAGCACCACAATGTTTTATCCAAACCTAACTGGTCTTCTATCCAGCAGACAAATGAAATAAAACATCCGCCTCCATTGCAAGTGCAGTCCTTGAGTTGTCAAACAATACCTTTAATATTCTTTCATCCTCCATTCCTTTCTGCATATTTTTCTTTTTCCCCCTTATTTCTTTCTTTACACTGTGGGTAAATGCAAGGTTCCTATCAATTTTGTTCCAACTTCCACGACTTGAAGTGGTTGATTTTCCTCATTTGGAGGATGCCATAACTTGTTGCACTAATATCTCTACAAGCTAGAATTCAGGAGCATGGTCCATGTTGTTAGCCATTTGTTCTGCAAGTTCATTATCCTTCGCTATGTCCTCCTCTACTTCTTGGTTTTAAGAAACCTGAGGAGAGGATGCTATGCTTGACTCCTCCCTCACCATCAACGTTCTGTTTTCTACCTTATTGGTCTCAACTTCTAATTTTTAGCTTATTTTGTTTATTTCTTTCGAAAGTTCCAAGTTTTCCAAATCCTCTTAAGCCCAACCATCAACTTCTGCTCTTAGCCATGGTCCATAGAACTTTGTTATTTTGTTGTTAGCTTCGTTCAAACGGAAGCCAATATTACAGGCTGTTGCAATATGCCTTGTACAACTACTAACATAATAAAACTCTAAAAATTACTCGTACTTTATTTTTATCTTTTTAATCTCAATTTCAGTCATTTGAATAATTGAAAGTTTTCGTAAAAACTTACATTTTAGAAGATTAACTCAAATTCAAAGAAATTTATCATAATTTTCATCCACTTCAAGAATCATTCTACTTGAATTATCTACGAGTTTACCCATTATTTTTTATTTTTATTTTTATTTTATTATCTTCATAAAAAATTCAAAATAAATTAATATTAAAATTATACCACGTTACACTTTTTTATTCATAATATCTAATTTATTTTATTAAACTCAACAACTAAGAATTGCGTGCGAAAAGAAACACACCCTCACACTATCGTACAAATTAATCCTTCCGAAATTACGACATTTCAAATTTCTATCAAAATTTTAATGAGTCAGCAGTATCCAAACACAACATAACAGAAGAACTAAGACAGCAGAGGAACCCCCAATAACGTTTAGCTTCAACAAATAACAATGGCCGCTCGCTTGATTTTTCTCGGTCTCAGAAGGTAACAGTTCGATTCGTTCATTTTTGTAGAATTAGAAGGGAGAAAACCCCCATCAAATTCACAATCTTGATAATGCAGGAGAAGCCGGAATTGCAATCCCTCAAGATTCCTCTCAGCTGGTGCAGCGAGCAGCGAATACGCGGAGCAGACTCCGAGTGGTTTTGAAGGCGATGATCTGAGGAGCCGAATATTCCGGCTGAGGCTTCCGAAGCGGAGCGCCACCCACGTCATTGAGAGGTGGGTCGGTGAGGGCAACCGACTCTCAATTTCTGAGCTTCGCGACATTTCCAAGGAGCTGAGGAAATCACAGCGTTATAAGCACGCTCTTGAGGTATACTCTTGCCTTCCCCAATTTCATTGTTTGTGCATGTACCGGGTTTGTAATTCCCAAATACCTTGTAAAGTTTATCAATTTCCTTGATAAGGAACATATGGATTGCAAAATTAAAGGACGAAATACGAGATTTTCTTGTTAATTCCTTTATGGATAACAATATTTAGTGGCCAATGCCTAAGCATAATTTATGAAGTGTGATACTTGCTGTTTCTGAGAATGGCTTGAAGGGTTTGGAGCCTGAAATAATGGGGTAGCCTGCATCTATGCTCATCTTGATTACATTTCATGTAGGAAACACAAGCACAAAGAAATAGATTTTATAGCATTGATGAGTGAAGGTAGGTGTTAATTGGAGAATTTGAAATGCATGCCATAGTCTATGGGCTGAGCTTTTTGCATCTTTAGTACTGCTCAAAGTTCTCTGGTTTGTTTGAGTCAATTTTTTATGCCCGTTTTGTGTCAAATGGAAGCAGGAATTCACTTTATTTCAATTCTAAGCTCCATCTCAATTGAAGCTATATGATGGACAATGGTAAGAAGGCTGACCATTTATCATTTTGCATTATGGTTTACAAAGATGTCTTATGTAGTTTGAAATGCTAAGGTACAACATCTTTATTTTTTTGGATAGTTTTTGGACTGTCTGTCTGTCACTGTTAGAACTTGGCTATGGGTTGAGTTTCAAGCTGCTAGTTAGCTTTGTTCTTACTTTTTTTTTCATTTTTAAACAGTAAATATTTTGTACTTTCTACCTTCATTTTTAAACCAACTTTCCTGATTTATTGATCATGAAAATGTCTAAGCTTACCTTTTACGCAACTGTTAGTTTACAAGAATTGTAATGATAGTCAGATTCCTTGTTTTTTACTAACGCAAATGTAACCTTGTAGATATCAGAATGGATGCTCACTGATAAGGAGTTTGAGTTATCAGATTCTGACTATGCAACACGCATTGACTTGATGACAAAAGTTTTTGGTATTGATGCTGCTGAACGCTACTTTGAAGACCTGCCTCTTAGTGCAAAGACTAGTGAAACTTACACTGCTCTTCTCCACTCATATGCTGGGGCAAGATTAACTGAGAAGGCAGAGGAACTCTATGAAAGGATAAAGGGGTCAAACCTGTCATTTACTGCTGTTACGTATAATGAAATGATGACTCTGTACATATCAGTTGGGCAAGTTGAGAAGGTTTCTTCAATTGTAGAAGATCTGAAAAGACAGAAGGTTGCACCAGATGTTTTCACTTACAATCTTTGGATAAGTTCATGTGCTGCAACCTTAAATGTTGATGAGGTTAGAAGGATTCTGAGCGAAATGAGCTCTGACTCTTGTTCTGATGATGCTTGGGGAAGATATATCAAGCTTGTAAATGTATATATCACTGCTAATCGCCTTGTAAATGCAGAGTCCAGCTCTCCCATTGAAGCAGGAAAAGGTATTTCACAAAGAGAATGGATAACATATGACTTCCTTGTTATTCTGTATGCAGGCTTGGGAAACAAAGAAAAAATTGATCAGATATGGAATTCATTGAGAATGACCAAACAAAAAATGATGAGCAGAAACTTTGTATGCATTCTTTCTTCATATTTGATGCTTGGACATTGGAAAGAAGTGGGGGAAGTTATTGATCAATGGAAGCAGTCTTCCACCACAGATTTTGATACCTCTGCTTGTAACAGGCTTTTGAGCACGCTTGCAGATGTTGGACTTGCTGATAAGGCCAACGACTTTCATAAGCTCCTAATTCAGAGAAACTGCTTCGCCACAGATGAGTGAGAATGTATTAGAGTTTATTCTGATCCAGCACAGATTCAGTGAGAAGCTCAGAGTACTCATCTTGAGAGGTAAGCTACCCAGGAGAAAACTAAGAATCATATTGTTTCTTGCTAGCCCGCCTGGAAATCCATTAACTGAACTGCAGTATCAGGACCTTCATTTACAGTGTTTGTTTTCTAGGATCCCCGATCCTTGAAATGAAGATTATCTCCGTTTTCTTCTGAAGTTCTAGTCAAGCTACAAACTCATGTTCTCTTAGTTGCTAATAGAATAAAATGTAGTCATGTTAAATTTTGTCATATATCCATATGATGAGTGGCAACTTGTTCATCTAAATTATGTTGCTCCACATGTTTATTCTATGCATGGTTAGCATTGCTTTCACAGTTGTTTTTTCCGTAGTGGCAACTTGTTCATCTAAATTATGTTGCTCCACATGTTTATTCTATGCATGGTTAGCATTGCTTTCACAGTTGTTTTTTCCGTAGTTGTACAGTTCCCGGATTCTGAAGCAAATAACTA